TAAACTATATTGCAAGAAGATCCATTAGTTATTTTACCCTCTGCACCACGAAATGTATATTAACGAGGATGTGTTGTACCCTTGGAAAGCATTTTCGTACCCCGAGGGGTACCGGTACCACACAAGCGAATATTTTGTCATGTCAGTCCCCCCCCCCCCCCCCCAAATTCAAAAATTGAAAGGATTTTTGTGGAACTTAATAGCTGAATACTGCTCCAGTAGAGAATATAAAACTTTTGTAATTTTCTACCATCAGAAATACCAACACTCAACTGGCAAATATATTGGAAGTAATTTCAATGTTGACACCACTGCTATTTCTGAAATTTTGATTTACAACAGTATTGAATTTAGCCCTTATTCTGAATCCCTAAATAAAATTCCACATGATTCAGGAGATTTTTCAAACAAGCCCAGCACAATTAATGCGGCCAAATTTTTGTTTATATTCCAAAATAATTTATCGAGAGAAAATGTTTCATGGCCTATTACGACACGAAATTTCAGGATTACTACTCGTAAAAATTTTAGTTAGCCAAGATATCTCAAAATGTTTGAAATCTGTATCACAGAAGTTAAGCACATAGATCAGTAAATACAATAATAATAAATTCGTAATTCTTTATAGCATCATCATAAATCAGAGGTGTGTGAGGGCCGAAAGTTCAGAATGTCATCAGGCCCGAGCCCGAGAGCCCGAAGTTCTTTCTTTAAATAAATTACCCGTACTCCACCCAAACCCAACTTCCCTTTATTTCAGCCGAAGTGAAGTCCAATCTGTTTACAGACTGCCCTGATTATCTTATCATTAATACATATTTCTTTAGACTCTTAAATTCCAGCAATCCTTGAATAAATTATTTAACAGTTCTCTAAGAACATAATATTTTGGCGTTTGAGAAACCGCACATAAATGTCAGATGCCAAATTTGTAAGGTGTTACTCCGAACTAGTGCATCAGTTGGTATGACATCGAATGAGATTTGAACTTAGCTGAGAATGGTAAACAGAAACAAAGACGTTTCGGCCTACCTGAAGGCATTATCTCAACACTTGCTGTGTACGACTACGAAAAACTGTGGTAAAAATATTAGATAACACGGCCGAGTGTGAATCGGTTACATTCAGGATATATTTTTCTTTTTTGAAATGTTCTGATTAAAAACAACCCATCTAGTTATCAGAAACAGAAATTATGGGCAGAATATTCGGAATTAAACATTTACTATTGCTACATCCGAAAAGAAGCTGTATATATCCAGATTGAACAAACATTTATACGAGGTGCGATCGGAAAGTTTTAAGACTGTGTCAATAGAGGGCGAACCGGCTGTAGTACGAGCTTCTGCCGCTAGGGGGTGCGGCCTACATTCATAGTGAATCAGTGTGCCAGCCGGCATCATCGAATTAGCATTTGTTTCTTAGTTACGGGCGTTTTGGTAGTGCATTACACCGACCCTCCTGCGATTTCGGAATGGCGTGTGTATCAAATTTTGCCAAAGACTCGCCAAAACGGCTACGGAAATTTATGAAATGCTAACGCAAGCATTGTTGGGATAGGCTATGGGGCCTGTCAGCTGATTCTAAAGGAAGAACTGCACATGCGACGCATCCTGTCTGAGGCCCAGAAGCAGAATCGACTTCTCGTTTGTCAGGAGCTCAAAGATCTTGCAAGATCCGACCCCAACTTCCTTTCTAAGCTCCGTGTGACTTCTTCCTCTTCCCAAAGATGAAATTCAGCTAAAGGGAAGGAGATTTGAGACGATAGAAGAGATTCAGGCAGAATCGCAGATGGTGCTTGACAGGCTGACAAAGAAAGATTTCCAGGGATGCTTCCAGGTTTGGCAGCGGCGCTGGGATCGTTGTGTTCACTCCCAGGGGAACTACTTCGAGGGTGATGGATGAATTTAATACCTGAGATAAGTGTACGGGTTTTTATAGGTGCAGTCTGGGAACTTTCCGATCGCACCTCGTATTTCTGGGAGGGACAGGTATAAAAATCCCCGAGAAAACCAAGTAAATATTTATGCCTCGTCACTAGAATGCAGGTAAATATGTAATAAAAAGGTAGCTAATAAATCTCTCAGAAATATTATCAAAATTAAAACATTTTGGAGCTATGGCCAGCTGCTTCAATGTACAAAAATGACATTAACTGGCCACTTCCCAGTGTGAGCTAATGAGAAGTTTTTGTCTTTATAACTGTGCTTCGGTGGTCTGATATCCTCCTAGTCCGCTTCCCGTCAAAGTGTCCTCCACTTTTATGTGGTCATCTTTCCCTTTCCAATTCCACTCTGGTCTCTTTTCGTCCTTCAATTCTTCTGATATTTTCTTTCCCATTATTTGTCTATGCTTCTTTGGTCTACTTGCCTTACGATTTTCCGTTTCCATGATAATTATTTTTCTCTTTCAACTTCCATTTATTTCATTGTCATAATGTCCTATCACGTCTCTATGTTCCTGAAGTATGATTTCTCAGTCATCTTCCATTACTTTTATTGTTTCCTTAGCCATATTTACCGCAGCTTCTCTTCTCTTTTATCTGCCGATTTTGCAATATATTCTTCGTACTTTTATTCTGTTTTAATCTGTATAGACCGTGCCACGGTGGTCTAGCGGTTAGAAGGCTGGCATTGTAATCCTGGGGTCTCGGGTTCGATTCCCGGGGTGCCCGAATTTATAACTTGTGTTGGGCAAGGCCGTGGTCTAGGCAACACGGAGTTTTCCTCCGTGGCATCCCAACAATTACTCCATGCACACACAGAAGAAGGCAATGGCAAACCACTTCTGGATCATCTGCCAAGAACGTATATGAACAGGGCCCAGTCCGAGAAAAAGAGGGAAGGATCCTGTTCATATGGACCTAGCGTCAGACAGAACACTAAATAATAAAATAAAATCACGTTATTTCCGATCTAATATTCATAATCATTATGTCATTGGACGCAAAATAATATACGTCTTTGTTCCGAATGATTTTAATACAGTCGACACTCTCACTTCCCACTTCGTTTTTCTCCAAGATTAATTTTTATATCATCTTCGCCACGGTGGTCTAGCGGTTAGAACGCTGGCCTTGTAATCCTGGGGTCTCGGGTTCGATTCCCGGCGGTGCCCGAATTTATAACTTGTGTTGGGCAAGGCCGTGGTCTGGGCAACACGGAGTTTTCCTCCGGGGGCTAACCCGGTTTCTCCGTGGCATCCCAACAATTACTCCATTCACACACACAGAAGAAGGCAATGGCAAACCACTTCAGGATCATCTGCCAAGAACGTATATGAACAGGTCCCAATCCGAGAAAAGGATGGAAGGATCCTGTTCATATGGACCTGTCGGCAGACAGAACACTACAAATAAAAAAATAATCTGTATAGTAGCCCACGTACTTCCATCTCTTTCCAGTTCTATCTACTCTAATAGGTCCTTTCCCTTCGAGTTCTCTAATCTTATCTTTGTCATTATATCTCTCTGCTTCTTTAACTGATTTTCTTTCTGATGATCAATTTATTTTAATCACATTTCTTTTTCATTTATCTTTTCGACTATGTTTTGTTTACATTCGTCTACAAGATGTTACTTAAAGCGTTGTTAAAAGAACAAACAACTAATTCCTGATTTAATTTCAGATGTGCATTGCAGTGGTCATTGTCTTGTTCTCAACTTAAATTACAGGAAATACAGGCCGTGGCGTTTTTTGAACACACTAACGAATCTTTAGGTCCCATAAAAATCGGCGACGTTTCGGTTGAATAATATTTGCAACTTTCATTATCCCATTTAACGCTACATAATCGTGTAATGGCGTTATTAAACAAACTTTTGAAAACAAAGACTGGGATATTACAAGTAACGGAAGTTATTTAAAGATTTATATATTGATAATTTTCAATTAATATGACAGAATTATTAATCCTGGCATCAACGGCTCTATTGATATTGAAGAGATCTACTACAGAATGTCTGGTGCTTTACACTATCCTGTTCACACACTAATCAAGTTTTTAGAAGTACTTTTTACAAAGTAGCAAAACTTGAAGACCGTACAGACACATTACGAGGTGCGATCGGAAAGTTTCCAGACTGTGTCAATAGAGGGCGAACCGGATGTAGTACGATCTTCTGCCGCTAGGGGGTGCGGCCTACATTCATAGTGAATCAGTGTGCCAGCCGGCATCATCGAATTAGCATTTGTTTCGTATATAAGCTATGAAATGAATAACTTTTACTCACCCCCACGTTAAAAATATTTTTATTACGTATGTATTGTACATAAAATATTATTGAATTATTAATCCATGAATGTTTTAACAAGAGAAACAAAGCCTGTATTGTAGACGCATCCAGGAAAGTCCAAATTTCATCAAAATCCGTTTAGAGTTGTCCAGAAGACGCTGAGTGACAAACATTTTTCTTTTTTTTAAAAAAAAATTATGCGGAAATTACTGAGCTAA